TTGACATTTTAGGTTATAGTTTCATGTGATCCAACCCTATGTGTAAAAGTGTTGCAAGGAAACTCTACCAGTGTTCTCCCAAGCAAATCAATAACATAATAGGGGTGGGTGAGGAAACCTCTTGTGGTATTTAATGGTTGTTTTTTTCATTCTGAATCAGTACATTACGCAACCAAAAGCACTGACCTAATAGCTAGCAGTGGTGCTGACATAATGAAAGGGGAAAATAAGGGCCTCAGGAAAGTACCTCTTCAATCTAAACACTAGAACTGTATTATCATCTGGTAGGTGGTTTAGGATAGAGATGCACACTGAGAATATGTTGTCTGCATAATTAATTTACATGGATAGGTATTGAGTCACCTGAGGATGACAACAAAATCCGTGAAGATACAGATCTCTGCGGGTTTTCTCTACGAATAGGAAAAACATAAAATACTTACAGATACATACATAGGAAAAAAACAGAGGAATCCAACCAGACATCATTACTGTCCTCACAAAATATTTCTCCACATTTAAGTTAGATAAGCACTGCAGCCCTGAAGTAAGTAAGTAAGTAAGTAAGGCCCTGAAGACTGGGCAATCTTTAACAATAAGCACATATTTTTTATATTTGTATCTGTCCACATATACATTTTTTTCATGCACCAAATGCACTGTGATTTGACTTTTATACACACTCTTCTTTATTTATAAACACTAAATACTGTTTTCAACTTCTCTAAGAAACAATTTCATGCTTCTAGCAACAGGAATTAATATAATCTGATTGCTCAATAAGGCAGCAATTACCATTAATAGATGCTAGGCCTCTCTTACAGCTATAGTTTTTCTGTTGCAACTTGACAGTAGGTTTATTGAATTAAATGTGTCTAAGATACAAACTATTTGTATCACTTCATATGACTTGTATAGATCAGTTTCATTTTTTTTCAGTAGCCCACTGTGAAAAGAACAATAGTGTTGTCTCAATTTCTTTTATAGTGTGCTCTTCTTGGTGAAAAAAAGTAAAATGTAATATTTCAATCATATAAAAGACTCCTTTCTCTGAAACTTCTGGAGAATCAAAATTGGAAAAAACATTATTTTTGCAAATGTAAATCTAATTATCTTACCAATTGCCACAATTCAGGGCAGTGTGATTTGGGCTGATACTTGTAAGGATGTATAGGTGTAAGAAGTTTCATTGCCTGATCTCACAAACTGAAAGGAACACTTTCAGACTAAACCCCATGTTCTTAAAAATCTTTTGTAAAAATTTCTATTAAAAAATACCTTTTATTTGGATCACTTTTGATGGCTCTTTTTCTTTTTTGTTCAATTTGAAAAATAAAAGCAGACCAGGCAGATTCATTTTTGTGTGCATTTATTTTAACATGCTGTCTCACATGCAGTAATACAATATTGTGGCATTTGAGCTGAAATCCCCAGCAGAAATATGTTTACTTTCAATGCATTCTACTATTACAAACTGTTTTTCAAACATCTTAAAACAGTAAGTACAATTTATGATTAATCCCCTTGCATCATTGAATATCCTTTAAACTGACAAAGTGAGAAAGATTCCTTGTCACTACTGTGATATACTTCATTCTGATTTATGACTCTTTTCCCCCTCATTATTGACTGCACTTTCCCCTCTTGATTGAAACTTGTACAGACTACTTTAAAAAGATAAGAAATTACTATTGCAAAACTGCAAGAATTAGTGGTGTGTTTCAGTTGCTGCTTGTAGTACTCAAAAGTACTTCATGGGTTTTCCGTTTCTATCCCTCTTTTTAAAGCCAGCTCTCTTTCATGCCCTTCTTAAAGTATTTGGAATTTTTTTACATACTGCCTAAATGACAAGTTTTTCACCAGACAATCAGTGCAACTTAATGAATTTTGAGATACTGTGATAAGGTGATTGCCTTATTGTCAACTGCAACATTCTGCTTGCAGCTCCAGGACAAAATGAAAAGTCAGCTGCAAGTCATTCCAAACTGATCAGTACATTTGCATGTGCAGAGCAATACAGTTTCCTATTATGAGGTCATTGCTCATGCAGAAGGCACCTGAATACTCACATGCATTCTTAGAATACAGATAATAGTAGGTCTTGTAGTTCTCTAGGACATTGTTATTATATCCTTCAGTGAGAGATCATCGCATATGTGTTGTTATGTAATGCATGCCAAATATTGTCAGTGACTTCTACACATTATCTCAATGCTTTTCAGAAATGAACATTGAAATTTGAAGAGATTTTTTTCTGAAGCAGAAACATTCCAGAGACGCAGAACACTATTCCAGATAGATATTTATTTTGTAGGTTATAAAGGCCTTGAGCAACCTGGTGTAGTGGGAGCTGTGCCTGCCCAGGGCAAGGGGTAGTTGGGACTAGATGATCTTTAAGGTCCCTTCCAACCCTTAACATTCTATGATTCTATGATTCTATTATTTAGAAAAAGATCTGAGTTCAACCTTAAGCCAGTATGTATAACAATGCTTTAAAAAGGTCAGTTGCTGTCAGTCAGGGGTCTTTTTTCGTGAATTTTAAACCTAAAAATATATGGTAGATTGTTAGATTAGTTTGAGAATCCACTACAGGATATAGACTGCAGAATTACTCTGATGCTATAGGTATAATCTGTCAGTGATGTACATTGCATTTATCAATATTAATTTGTATAAATTGCAGCTGCAAAAGTATCAAGCAAAAGAATCATAAAAGAATTGAAGGATCTAAAGATTGAAGGTACATCTGATGGGTGGGGCTAAACATCTTATTTGAACCTGCCGTTAAAAATCTTTATCAGTGAAAAAGTATCATGTCTTAGCTTTTAGGTAAAAACCCAGCCCAACTCAATCCAACAAAAAAAACTAAAACAAGCAAACAGACAAAACCCCCACAAGCCAACCAACCACCACCACCACCAACAACAAAAGAAAAGAACCCACAATCCACCAACCCCCAAATTCCAGATTGCAGACTTTGATGAAAAATGTAAATGTCTCTGAGGAAAAAACCCCAAACCCTTCCCTTTTTTATTATTAATTGTCAACAAGCTACAGTTGTGCTGTGTGCTACCTGCAGTTCTACCATCCTTAACATCAAATATTTATTGCAAAAGATGTGCTTTAATTTTAAATGACCTAATACAAATTTGCTGTCTCAGTGTAAAGTCCTGCAGGACACAGGACACAGGCTGTTTTTATCACCATTTAGGTAGTAGGTTAAAAATGCCTTGCCTCAAATAGGATTTACATTTAGATGGTCAAATTCTGGTGCTGCTTCTTAACAAAAAATGCACAATTGTCTTAGTGAAGACAGTCTCACTCATCAAAGATTGCGCTACCAGTATATCTATATATTTATCGATGTATCTATCTATAGATATCTATATACTTGTCTATATTTATCTATATTAAATATATTAGTTGATAACTTACTGTTATGAGGGTTGACTGAATGTAGTCTGAAAGTGGAAATATTTTTATCATCTTTCTTAACAGGTTTCCTACGCATGGCCCTTCCTATGTGCATCTTTCAGTCCCAGGTAGAGCAGGGTGATCCTCACTGCAGAATACCTTCTCAGTTGTCTGTCTGGAGTGCTAGCTCTTACATACAGAACCCAGGGCAAAACTGGGTTTTGTTTACTGAAAAGCTAGTTACTACTGGATTTAAAACAAATGTCATCCAAACTGCAGGTTATATTTATATTGTTGCCTTAAGAGATCATGGAGAAAAAAACTCCAGGCCAATTTAGTATATAAGATAAAGAGAGCAACTCCTTTAGTTAGTCCTGAGGCCAGAGGAATACACATGACACACGCTCCCCAGACTGTGGTTTTATGATAAGGTCCATCAAATCCCAGATTTGTCCACCCTCGGTTCTGCTCAATTCAGCCCCCCAACACACCCCTTTGGGTTTGGGGTCTTTGGGACCCCTTCTTCCTCATCTTCATCTTCTTTGCGGCACATACAGTCCTTGGAGCTTCTCCAGAGTTCTGGGCTTGAAGGTCACTGTGTCTGTGTGATATCTTCTTATCCAGGCTTTTCTACAATTCTACCTTGAAAAGAAGACTAAACACGCTAACAGAATTTAGAGGGCTTGATATGGAATGGGATAATAGGGTTGGATATGTGTAAACATTATGCTACAGGGTAAGGGATATAAAACAGCTACATTAAAATCTACATTCACTACACAACTACTTCTAAAAACTACAGAAGTTAAAAAATCCAAAAAGCTCTGAAGCATCAATATTATATTTAGGTTATATTTATGTTATATTTAGAACAGGCAGCTGGTACAACATACATGTTGTGACTGACTAAGATCCCGTCCCTGCCTCTTTTTTCTAAAAGACTGCAGAGCTCAGTAAGTTTCTGTCAATCCCATAACAAAAGAGCCAAAGGCATCTTGGCTGTAATTAACTGTTCTCCTGTTTCAGGTCAGCAGAAGAAGAACCAGTCCAAGAAAGATACTTGTGCAGGAGGTCCAGTGTCCAATTTAGAGATGTCTGTACCTTCTGAAGGCCAAAGGTAAGGTGGTAAAAGCCTCTCAAAGTCAGGAGTAGTGTAAAAGAGAGCAGTGACATACCAGTACAATTGCTTTGTTTCACCCTGCAGAGAATACAACTAGATCTCAATCCCCCACCACCATTTTGCCCTTGAGAAGAATGAAAATATAATTCTCCATTCTTTTTCTTCTTTCCTCTGGTCTCCCTTAAAGGAAAAAATAGTATTTCCCCACCTTATTGTACCTTTTACTCTAGACATTCTTACTATTGCCTAATTACTAGCATTTTCCAAAACAACTATTTTCTTTTAATAATTTTATTTAAATGGCTGCAGAAATATGCCAAAAAGGAACCTCATACAGCTCAGCAAAAGAAAATGCTGAATGCTGCATCTGGGGAGGAATAACCTTGTGCACCAACACGTGGGGCAGCTGGGCAGGCAGCGGCCTGGCAGAGAAGGCCCCGAGGCGGCTGGGAGACACCGGGTGGGACATGGGCCAGCTGTGTGTCCCTGCCCTCGGCCTCACCAGGCCTCACCTGGAGTGCTGTGCCTGCTCTGGGCTCTCCAGTCCAAGGGAGATGAGGAGCTACTGGAGAGAGCCCAGGGAAGGGCCACAAACACGGTGAAGGAACTGGAATCTCTCTCTCATGAGGAAAAGCTGCGAGAGCTGAGATAGTTCAGCCTGGAGAAGGTGCAGGGGCACCAGACTCTCACCACAGGGCTTGACAAGCCTAAGGTTAAACTGGGGGGTTTAAGGCCACCAAAGTGGCTGACATGCCATGAAACAGGGGCTTTCCCCCTCTGGGGTGTTCGCTGTCCTCACTAGGCAACAGCCGGGGTGCCACAGGCTCCTGCAGTCGGTACATTTGGCCCTGGCCTCCTGCAAGTGCCACACGCAGTGTGTGACCTCCAGCAGGACCGTGGCCCTGCGCTGGCAGTGCTGCCGCTGTGCAGAGACGTGGCCTGTGCGGGGGCTGCGGGTCCTGCAGGGGCTGTCCCAGCACCTCAGCTTGAGGAGGGCACCACTGAGGGCTCCCAGACAGCTCCTCCTTCCCTGACCGCCTCCTGCAGGTACCCTGTGCCAGCCTGAGTCCAGCTGGCTGTCCCGGGGGCAGTGCCAAGTGGGAGGTTTGTCCTGGAAGGGGGGCAGCGTGCCTGGGGCAGCGGAGGGGGCAGGCACACGTGGAAGGCAGCTGTGGGGCTGGCGGTCACTTCTGGGCCTGCAAGGAGACCCTGTGGGAGGCCTTTGTCTCCCCTCTCTCCCCACTCTCTGGGCCTTCTCTGCTGTTCCGTTCCTGGCGCCAGAGAAGCTCAGGCACTGTGCACGTGTCTTGGCAGAACATGGCACCCGGAGCCGAAGAGGCTCTGCAGGAGAGCGGCTCGGCCACGACGGCCGGTACGAGCCAGAGGCAGTGGGAGGCAGTGGCAGAAGGCCTGTGCCCCATCTGCCTGGACAACATGGACGACACAGCCCACATCATCCCCTGCCTGCACACCTTCTGCTTCGGCTGCATCCAGCAGTGGGCTGCCGTGCACGCCGTGTGCCCGCTCTGCCGGCAGCACTTCAGCCGCATCCTGCACATGGTGAGAGCGGACGACGACTACCAGGAGTGCGTGGTTGCCTCGTCCTCCCGCCAGCAGAGTCCCGCAGCCAGACAGAGGGTGCGCAGCAGATCCCCACAGTGGCGCTACCACCTGCGCCCACGGCCCAACAACAATCCCACTGCTGGGAGAAGGGGGCCGGCAGAGAGGGACTAAGGGAGGGCTCCAAGGAACTCCGACACCTCTGCCCCACAGACTGCAGGGGGATGCTAAGCCAGCCCTGCCGATGGACCTGTCATCCACTTGGACTTGCTGAGAGCGCAGCTTATGGCCTTCATGCAACGTGAATGAACATCCACAATCTTTCCAGAGCGTGCATCTTTCAAAACCACTTGGTACACTGCACATGAATCCACTAATTGCTATTCTTACTATTAGTCATAGTAGCATTGTTATTGTTATTGTTAAAATTATTAAAGTGTTCTTCTCTTAACCCACAAGGTTTATCCTTTTCTCTCCAATTCTCCTCCCTAAGGGGGTGGGGGTGGCAAGCAGCTGTATGGAACTTAATTGCTGGCTGAGGTTCTCCAATTTGTTGTGCTGGTGCTGGAAGATTATAGACTTTGTGGACACTGAACATAATCAGAAGCTTTCTGGAGCATATTTCTCTCAAAACCAAAGAAAACCACTGCAGGCAGTGCTTTTTAGCAGTGTTTCAACAGCATAGGTAAACAAAAGGGGAAAATGTCTGGAGTGTACCGCGAACTATTTTAATATAAATGCTGCAACAGAGCCCCTTTGGCTCACACTCTCCCAGCCTTGCCACTCTAAGCAGCAGAGATGGTTGTCCAAGCCCTGTGGCCATGAGCCAGGCCACCTGACCTGAAGCAAAGCCAGGTCCATGGACACAGGCCATGCTGACAGCCCTCTCCCTGCTGGTACCTCTACACCCAAATGGCTCCAGTCATCCACCTGTCACAGCCCTCTGAGCCTTCCTCTGCCACTTCTCTACAGCAGCACCCTGGCTCCTCCAGCCCCAAATCCCATGGCCATGGCAGGAATGCAAGATAAGCTATCCTGGTGTTCTGGGAACAGGCTTCACAGAAGACACTGCCAGGGAATGATCTGCACACCTTGGCTTGGTCTCTGTCAGGCAGCAAAGCTCTAAACTCTGAGCATCCTGGGCCTTCAGGAGCCAGTCAAGGAGCAGACTGCAATGCAAACAAAGCATATTTTTGCCATGCCTCTGTCCCGTCCCCCCCCATTCTTGCTGAGCCCTTCCCAGTCCCTTGCTTTTTAATCCTTTCCCCAGACACACCAGAACCAGCCTTGAACCTTTGCACAAGCTCTGCAACAACCCCCTCTCATAGAGTCTGAGCAGCTCCATAGATTCTTGCCCAACATCCCTCAAGGGTCCCCCCAGTCCTGCTGGCAGAGACCCCCACAGCCAGAGAGGTCCCTGTGTCGTGTTCCTGTGGGATCCATCTCAGATCTGCAGGAAAGGGCCTGGAGGTCCTGGGGACACCAACATGCAAACAGCACTGTCAGTGTGCCCTGGTAGCCAAAAAGCCAACAGCCTCCTGGGGTGCTCTGAAAGGGGAATGCCGCCAAGCAGGCCAGGGAGGGATCCCTCCCTGTCCCCAGCCTAGTAAAATGCACAAAATTCCATTTAAAAATGAGACAAAACTTTTTACTTTGATGATGGTCTTAGACTGGGAAATTGTTGAATAAGATGTCTATACATCTAATCGCCATCTCTAGCCTTCAGTATCCTGAAGAAAATAGAAGCAGAAGGTAACCTTCTTCCCTCTACTACCTCACTAGGTATGAGGTTGTGCAGAGTTAACCTGTCGAAATAAGGCAAGAACCAACTACTGGGTCCCTTACATTTCTAACAATAGCTGTGATGAAGTTATCACTGATTACAGATTACCTACTTTAAAATATGGGTGAAAAATGCACTAAAACAGAGAATGAACAAATTACAACTCTTCGATAGTGTTGGCTCAAAGTCAATATTGTTGAACCAATGTATCTCATCCTGTGTGGGACTCAGCCCTAGTTCATGTCTTTAGTCCTCAGAAGAATCTAGAAATTCACCCAAAACTGTCTTCAAAAGTCGCTTTAATGCTGCTATGTCTTGGCAGAAAACCCATGTATACAACTTAATACAGGAAAGTAACAGAATTATCATTTTGTGCTTGTGGCAAGTTGAACAATATTTTTGCCTTAAATTCAGGAACTCTAATGCAATAACAAAATTAGGTACTATTTTCAAGTTTAAAATAGCCAGTGATCTCTGTGTGAAGACTCAAAATAATTTCCTTCAAGTGAATTTTATGAAGCTTCAGAAGCAAAAAAAAAATAAAAATCAAAAATACCCAGAATTGTTTTTAAGATGTATGTTTTTTAAAAATGGCAACCCCTCCATATAGTTAAAAGATCAGAAAAAAGCATGAAAGATTAAGTGGTAGATGAGATAATAGACAAGATAATTACAGAGCATTAAAGCCTCAGATTTATTTTTAAGACATTCAAGCTCTATTTAGAAAAGCCCTTTGTTAACTTTTGTGAATTTAAAAAGAATGATTGTAACATATTCAACAATAAGGGGACTAATGGTGTTAAAGCTTCATCATTTCCTATTCTAAACCAGTCCATACAATAACTGGCCACAGAGTGTTTCTGCAGCACAAATAGAAGATAACAAAGCTAGAGTAGTTACAGTGCAACAAAACCTCAAGATGCCACAAAAAGAGATTTGTCATGCTCTGTGCTCTCAGAGTGGGAAGTGACAAGTGACTCTTGAATTTTCTCACTGAGCTAACGCACACAGGGAAGTTAACCACACGCACCCTCACGGGCTGCTCACGAGCCACCATTTTGTTTCTGTGGTGCTAGAGAGGTAATGTTAATACCAGGCAAGAGCTGAGAGTATGAAAGCCAGGTAGGCAGTTCTCTGACATGAAGCTGTACCAGTCTGATAAGGATAAGGAGAAAAGCGAACATAAATCTGTGTTGACGGGTTTACAGGCAAGCAAATGTGTGGTTCAACGAAGAAACAGAGAACTGGTTTCTGTGTTGCTTTGGTCTTCTGTCTATGGAGCTGTCTTGAGAATCGCCTGGTTTTGTTCCACCTGAGACAATGAATGAAGAAAAAAATGTTGCCTATTGCCAAAGATATCTGCATAACCTCTGGTGCAATATACTGCTGCAATTATCACATCTTTTCAGGAAATTTCTGGACTCTTCTTTTTGGGAATCCGGCTCTATTCTTTGTGTTTTTATAGAAAAGTTTTTTAAAAATTATTACTTTTCTCCTATATTTTTCCTCTCCTTGCATAAAAAAGATTCAATATGTACCTAAGTTAGAACTTAAAAAATTAAATATATAGAGAGTGCATATATTTTAGATATATACTTATACCCCCCATTATTAGTAGAAATATCTACATATGTATGTTTGTTTGTGTATATATCATACAAAGCTATAATACTTGTGCTTGACTAAACACAATAGATTGCAAAATGTGGACACCAGCACAACATGAGATGTTGTTTCCCTTTGGCTACTTGATGCCTGAAGTGACACCAAAATATAAATAATCACATTTAGTTTCATTTTTAAAACCATGAATGACAAAGAACAATTCTACAGAGGTTTTCGAAGATCTTCTTAGTTTTATCATTACATTTGCAATGGAGATTATTTAGCCTTAGATACTTACTGGAAGTTCTTTCTGAGCATAAGGAAGTATGTGAAAATGTTTATTTGGATGTATAATTAAAACTACTATTAGGGGCAGATTAGAGGAAGGAGCTGAACTCCTGAGGGTAAAGAATTAAAACATGGGAGGTAAGACTGGAAGGAGCATAAAAATGAAAATAATATTTTATGGTTGGTGGAAGAGAAATTTTCAGAGTGTGGCAGGGTACAATTTAGTAAAAGTATGTTTGCATGCTGAGGAGATGTAAGTGGAAACATTTTGCTTTGCCCAGAGATAAAAGAGTGTTGACATAATTAGAATTGAACATTAGGATGGTGCCAAGCCCTGAAAGATATTTCTTACTTGTGTGGATAGATTAGAAAGGTCTTATCTCAGATTTCATTCAGAAAGTATATACAAGGGTCAGTCATAGCAAGAATTTGGGGATCTAGGCGTAACACTGTGTTGAAGATGTGTATGGCCAGCCTTCGCGAACGAAGATTTGGGAAAGGTCGTTACCCCTCGAGCCTGCGCAGTGGATTTTTTAGGTGAGACACAGTGTGCGCTGAACTGAGCCCACCCTTTAATCCTGAGGTTCATCTGCCGGGGCCGAGCAAGCTTGGACAGTGGTAGTGAGGTCCTCAGGACGTAGGTTTGTTTAGAGTGACCTTCTGTTAGATGGATGGCCTTACAGGGCTGACGAGCTCCATCTGCCCGGGCGAGTTTTTCCCTGGGTGGGAATTGAACCCGGGTTGCAGTGGTGAGAGTGCTGCAACCTAACCACTAGACCACCAGGGGCCCCCCTGTGTTGAAGATGGTGCCACATTATATACCTGAATAGCAGTCATTTTTTCTACAGGAATTGAAATGTGTATAAAGAAGGACTTCTCTTCTGAAAAGCTGCAATAACAGTAAAAAAAAAAATTAGAATTACCATGGCAACAACCAGCAATCGTTCATGACAAAATGGAAGAAAAATAAAACGGGGAAACAAAACACAAAATCAATTAAAAATTTAAAGAGTGATAAACTACACACTTTAGAGTGCCTACATACTTTAAAATATGATCCTTTATCACATATTTCAAATATGACTTCAGACTAAACAAACTATTTTCATGTTGTTTTTAGTTTAAAGATCCTCAAGAAACTGAGGCCTGGAAAAGTAGGTGTAAACATTAAAACCATAAAATCCTATGTCTTCTGGGAGGGAGAGAGAAAGAGAGAGCAGAAGAAAATGGATTTTTACAAACCTATGCAGAAATAATTTTTACACTCTCTTTTTCTTGACATGTCATAAAATAACTCACAGAAGGTAAACTTACTTAAGAGTTTTTTAGTCTTCATTATTTTCCCATGCAAAATTCCCAACAATTTCAAAAATTTTTCAACAATTAATAATGCAGTGGTGTACTTTCCTGAGCCTTTTTGAAGTTGTTAAATCAAACTGCTGTGGACAATAGACTACTGCCCTCATTTTGATTACAGTCCCTAGCAATGAGTCCACATTTTCTTTTGGGCAAGTATCTTCTGGGGTTTAGTGGACCTACAGTAACTAAAGCTATATCATACTGTGATTTAATAAAAACAGAACATAAGTCAACAGCAAAATTCACGTTCACAAGACAGAAGAGGAAATAGAACAGTGAGATTGCACAAAAGAGGACAGGGTCTAAGAACTGGAAGAGATATGAGGCAGAAACTGAATGAGAAAGAAATATGAAGGCATTCATTTTTCACGGATTAGTGTGTCTCAGAAAGCATGTGCTACTATTCCTATGCTTTATTCACATAATAGGAAATTTTTAGAGAGCTGCAGGAGAGTTGTCTGTTTTGATCAAAAACTAGTGACACAATTTGGTAAGTCTTGGTGAAAAATATTAATAAAACACACAAAAATCTTATTTTGTTGTGAGCAGTAGTGTTTGCAGACTTTACACAGATGACTTCTCTGTGAAGGAGTGAATTTTTTTTCACCTCTAACTCCATGTTTTTACATCATTTTGCATAATCTACCTGTCTAATCTTCCTTTCTAGCACCCTCATTTATTCCCTTGTTTCTTGATTTGAATCCCTTCTGGAATTATTCCGAACATCAGCCTTGCATCTGTGAAACTGCTTTAAAAAATTGAAAAAAGCCAGTGTTGTCTTATTCCTCTGAAAATGAAGGCTTTAACTCAGTTAATCAATTGAATGCATTTATTGCACGGTGATACAACTTCATTACAGAGGAATTTCAACGTGATTGTGTTTAATCACCTGACAAACAATGGACCAAATTGTTTTGCCTCTGGGAGCTGTCAAAGGTTTACACTTACAACATGTGTAATTTTTCTTTGAAAAGAGATGGAACTACATCTGCATAACAAATGGTAACAAGAGAAATACTAGGTGTTAATTTCATATTGTTGAAACACTTCTGACCTTGGGCCATAATGAGTTCCTCTTTTGCTGAGCACTTACTAAGTTGTATTCCAACATAATAATGAACTAAGGCACATAAAGCTATTCAGCAAAGAAATATGAGCCATGGTGAGTGGAGTCTTGTGTTAAAGAGTAGTTAGGACCCTAGGTTCTGAGACAGAGTTGGTTTATTTCAGCTCAAGCTGAGTGCCTCTGGAGAGGCAACAACCTATGCCTCTGAGGTTCAGAAACAGGAGTTCTCTTCCAAACCTTGCTTTCAACAGCAGCCTAGTTGGACCATTTGCAGGCTAACCTGACAATGGTTGTGATACCTCTCTGGTAGAAGTGCTGGCACATTTACCTCTTGACTGTTAAAATTATGACTTCTTCAACTGAAACACTACATGTAGGCAAATCAGCATTTTCTCATATCTGAGAAATGTCAGTTTCTGTGTCATCTCTGTCATTTTTCAGATATTGACTGAAAATGCTCATTTAGTAACATTTCCTGCTGCTAGTGAAGCTCTCAGGCACCTGTGCTCAAGCTATAGAGCAGTTTGCAATTTTGATATCTATATATAGATTCAGTCTGAAAACTTTTTTTCTACATGGAACTGGGCACTATCCTATTGGAAAACGCTCCATACTACTTTTTACAGTCAAGCACTCTAATACTTACATCACAATATCTGGCACTGAGATACTCTCTTGTTTCTGCCATTGCAGATCTTCACTGTAGCAAGAAAGGTTTTCTTTCAAGTTGTGATCAATATGTGACTACGAATTGCTTTTGGTTGATTAGCCATCTACTGGATATGTTACAGGACTGACCAGTATAGGGTTTATCACTAATGCTTGATAAGCCAATTTTCACCTTTGAATCAAACTCTGAAAAGAAAGACTGAATTAGTTAAAGGGAGTACACAGGCAACAAAAATCAGCAAGGCAAGCTTGTTTTGACTTAGAAGTTTACCTTTTTTAAGTCAGTGACTTAAGCCAAACTATTCAAAATTCTATGAAATCTGGGGGCACAAGTGTGTTGTATAAAATTTCTTTTTTTTTTTTTTTTTTTTAAGAATTGGGGATGGATGTGTATTTGATATCAATACCGGTATCCCTCTGCCCTACCATCCCCAGAAAAAGCAGAATAAAGATTGTGTAAGTTTATTTCCCATCCACTCAATCAGTAGAAATCAGGTCAGGCCTCCTTACAGCTACATTAGCATTCAGATCAAGCTCCATTCACTCTCAGTTCCACCCAAACATCTCATTACAGCAGTCAGCCTAGGCTCTTCATGACACAACAGATATTTTCATCCTTTCCACATGTGGCTACTTGAAAGGTGTGCTTTCAGTTTCTCTGACTTGTACTGAAGCAGGCAGAAACAGTCTTTGTGAGGTCAAGACCAAGTTTTGCTCACAAGTTGTGATACTGATTCTGTCCAAGTTGACTGTATTTTCTTTCAATGGAGTTGAGTGTGCATTAGGTATTGTCTCGAAGAAAAACCCCTGATGTACCAAGTGCAGTAATGTTGCATCAGAAACAAAGGTGACAAAAGTTTGCCGTTTCTCAAAAAATGCTTTGAAAGACACAATACGATTGAGGTTACAATGATAAATATTTGAGCACCTGCAACACAGAAAAATATGCCTGGATCAAAAGCGAACAGATAGCCTTATGCTGTGTCAGGACAGATCACAGTTAAAGTCAAATCGGTATCTCATTTTAAATGTCCTAATGTACTGCTTTTGTAAGATCTTGTACTATCAGAAAGTCATGTTTTAAGAAACTAAATTTACAGAATGACTCAGACATCTTAAGAGAGAAAATATACCCTAATGTGGACTACTAGTTTTAAAGCTTAGAAATACCTTCTCAGTGTTTTTTGGGAACTGCATTTCCACTGGGAAATGAGACTAGATGCTGCTACTGAGTAATCCCTCCACTCTTTAAAAAGCAGACAGACAGAAGTGTCAGTAGGTGGAGCTGCCTTTCCTGCAGTCAATAGAGAAGCTTCTCTGCAGAAGAAGTTGCATTTGCAGGCACCCAGTCAGCTCTTCCCAGTCCCTGGCAGATGGTACTTGAACAAAATATGAACATGCAAGAATGTGGCTTTTACATCATGTTACCAAAGTGCACAAGGCAGGAGAAGACAGAACACAGAACTGACAGTGTTTGTCAGCACAAGCTGTTTCTTTCTTTCCCCCCTCCCCCCCCAGTCGTGATGAATGGTATCATTTTAAATGATACCATTTAAATATGCTATGCTTTGCTTCAGAGCATCTTGTTCACAACAGTAAAATACTCTATAATTCATGCTTGGACTGAAGGTAGTGCTAATGTAAATATGTCTATTTTCATAATTTTCAGTGCTGAGGTACATGAAGTACATCTTTGCAGATGACAATCAGGCTGACAGCTTTTTCTTTCATTATTGCTCTGATGAAATAAATATGCAGATCATCTATTTATTACTAGAGAGCACTTCCACTTCATCTCTCAACATGAAGTTGTACAGCATATATGATGGCTGTGATCAATCCATTGTCTTTATTTTAAAAGGGAGATCAATGAATCTGATTAACTGAAAGAATGAATGTGGTATAAAAAATTCTGAAAAATCAGTCATATAAGATGAAGAATAATCATGGCACAAATTTATGACACGTCTGAATGGTGATTTATTTCATATGAAGAATTTGCTATTTGCTTTATTTCTGAGGTCTTGAGTAAGTATAGCAAGGAGGCTTCTCTAACTGTCATCCTCAAGTTTGACTCTGCTGAGTAACTATGGTTCATTTTTTTCACATGGCAGGCCACAAACCAAACACTAACATTAAAATGAGTAGTTTTGGCTGTGAGTAAAAAGTTAGTGCTGCCCTGGGAGTCATGGATATCACAGTAAAATCAGCTTTTCTGAATGTTTACAAAGAACACAGAACATACATCATCTTCTGATTTTATATCCATATGGGCTTCTTCAGCAATCCTAATTTCTAATCTTTTCTCCAATATGCCTAAAAAGGCTGATTAGCACATATATTTCCATGTAATATCCTGTACAAAGTTAGCCAGTCAAAATCTTTGAAGCCTTCTTTCTTTTTCCATGGAAAGGGCAAAATGCAAGGAAATGGTTTTTTTGTGGCTGTGGTGAGCAAAAATATGCACAGAATGGTATTTGATTTCACTATGCTGGTTACATGTGCAGTGCCTTTGGGCTCAAGTCTCCTGATACCTTTCTCATTCTGTAATTTCTAAAATAACCAAGAAAGACACTTATAATAAGGACCCAGCAATAGGTGACAATATGTGATGCTTGAAAGCAGCTCTGAGAATAAGCCAAGTATTTAATGGATCGTGGAGGTGCATGGTTGATATATTTATCCTCAAAGTGGCATTTAGCCGTTCACCTGACTCTAAGACCTTGAGGTATTACACACCCCATCCCCAATCTCTGTCTGGCCTTGTTAAGAATAGAAGGTGAGGACAACAATGAAAACTATACAGCTTTGTTTACTTTTTCCTATAGTTAGCCTCAGTGAAAGGAAAATTGATGCTCATGAACTACAGTTCCATGTTCATTCTCACAGCTACTGAGCACTGTTTTTAGATTATTTTAACTATCTTTTTAAATCATCCTGTGTTTTAACTTCTCTTATGAATGCCTCAGAGCCAGGGCACCTGCCTCTTTCAGCCAGCATTGATTTCACTGAACATCAAGAAGATGACTAGTTATATAGCTGACATTCCTTCCAGCCCAGGAGATAAAAGCTTTTATTTTGGTGCATACACAATTTTGAGAAGTAACTTCTCTTACCCATTTAATCTTGATACATCTACTCTGACATTCCTTCCAGCCCAGGAGATAAAAGCTTTTATTTTGGTGCATACACAATTTTGAGAAGTAACTTCTCTTACCCATTTAATCTTGATACATCTACTAGTTACTAGAAAAGTATCAAGAGGCCAAGGTTACTGGTCAAGACAACACTTTGAGGCTATTGGCATACCATCTTCAGTCTATTTAGTTGATTTTTAATTTACGTGGATAGCCTGTAAATAATACTTATTTTCATTTCCAGATGTTGCTTGGCTATTTGTTAAGTGTGTAATTGCTGTGAACTAAGAATCCTGAAGTAATGGCCTTGCAGCTATTAATCCAAACACTGGCAGCAATTTAGAAGAACACAGAGGGTATTCTGCATCTCTGTTTGTTCTTCTGCCAGGAGGAAGAGGGACCTGGTACCACTGCTCATCAGCTAATAACAGGATCTTCTGGGAACATGGTCCAATCACCTCTGTTACACTGTGATAATACAAAGGCACAGGACATGTTTAAGCTTCTGTCAGTTAGCACCTCTATTATTGAAGACCAATCTCAAGAAAATAAAGTTTGCAAGATGTCATTAGCACTGAGGGAGATTTCAGATCGAGAAATTTTAAATTAACAACACCAAAAATGTTTGTTGCGAGGACCAATGTTGTATGAAATAACACTTCATTCCCATTCAGAGTTGTTATTTTTATTTTAACAATTAGAAAAGCAGATGGGAAAATGTGTGGAATCCTTTATTCACTATTGTTCAATAGCCAAGACTCCTCTGTAGAACTGATGCCTTGCCAAAAATCAATTTTAAATGTGTAAATGAAATGCCTTGATTTCATAACGAGAAATATCTGAACCAAGGGTGATATTCCTTAATATCAGATTGATTTACCTTCCTTCTGTGAGAATTTTTTATATGATAGGAATATAAGATCAAAATCATGCAGTAATGTAAGATCAAGACCATCAAGCTGAAAAACTTCAGAGAAATTTTATGCTGATATCACAGGGTAGCAGCAAGGATGGGCAGAAGGCAACAGTCCCATGAGATTTCCATTTTAGTTGCCTAGGTTAACTGCATTATTATAAAGCCTAATGTCTTACTTAATTTTTTTCTCCTTATATCCCACTATAACTAACGTTTTACTACTTTTACTACTACTACTACGACTACTACTACTACTGCTACTACAACCACTTCAGGTAAAGGGATAGAGTTTCCTATCCACAGAAGTTTCTTACCTCTTCTTTAACATCATCATGAGTGGAGATCATAACATAAACTGTGGGGGGAAGGAAGAAGAGGAAATATAGCAGAGAGGAAAAATAACATTTATTCTTAATGAAAATTCCTTTAGCTTGAAGTTACATGTACTAGAAAGCATAGTGTATTACAACCTTAGCCATACTTCTCACTCTCCCCTGCAATTAATTCATTAACTTTTGTCAGGAATTTAATTTGTCCTTATGTGTTTTACCTAAATCTTCATGCCCCGTGCAAAAGACAGATAAGAATATACATTTTTTCCACTTACTGCAAGCATGGTCTGTGAAAGGTTTGAATTATTTCAGTTGGTATGTGCGATGCAGTACTTTTAAAGAAGGCCCAAGCAAGTTTCATCTAGCAGATTACAATCATTGTGTAGTTAGGAATAATTTGCACTAATGAAAAAACTACCAGTTAATTTCTCAAAGGAGTTTTAGATTGTAGTTTTTATATGTACATCCTCCAAAATGCTATGGAAATTCCTAAAAGTCCTATTATCTATGAGTATGTTTGAAGATCACTTCTTCATTTACTATACTGTATCTTTGGTGACTTAACCATTAGAATAGTGGAAAGTTTCAGTATCTTCATCACTGCTCTTTGAAGAGGTAACAATAAATCATGATAAACAGATATGACAGAACAGATTTTAGCTAAACAAACAGATTGCAAGTAGTGTCAAATTTAACTGTTCCTTATTCTATAGATTATACTTTAAAAATTATGCCTGTCTCAGTATATTAAACGCACAAGAAAACTATCACTTTACCTTTAGGTCCCTTGTAACAAAGCTTAGAAGTGTTATCACGTCTTATATGTGAAACTTAATCCATGTGGATTATTTGGGCCTTAAATATCAATTGTCTAGATACCTGTTAAGTATTTTTGCACTTTATAAAACTCACTTTTTCAGACATGCCTGTATCTAGTGTGGGTTACTGTTACAGGTAATTCTCTCCTATATTTTGTATTGTTTGGGAATGGTTGCATGAAGTAGCAATAACAGCTCTAATGGTGTGTTGTGCTGTGAGCACTTTGGATAATTATGATACTGTAAATTTTGAGTAGAATTGAAGATCACTATAAATACTTCAAGGACAATTCTAGAATACTAGGTATCCAGCAATGAAAGGAGCTTTACTAGGTTTACTTAATGAGTGAGAAAAAACCACAATCTACTTTAGCTTTCTTTACACAAGACAGATGGATCTTGCTCAGTTACAAAATAAACTGGCAGTCCCAAGAGAAAGTGATGGTGTTATCAGGCCAAACAAGGAGATTAGTAATGGTTAAATGAGATACTCCTTCACTTGAACTGGTAAAGTTCCCAATGACTGGAAAAGGCATTTATAACCCCCATTTTTAAAAAAGATAAAAAATGAAGACTTGGGGAACTATAGGCCAGTCATTCTCACCTCGGTGCCTGGCAAGATCATGAAGCAGATCCTCCTGGAAACTATGCTGAGGCATATGGAGGACAGGGAGGTGATTGGTGACAACCAACATGGCTTTGTGAAGTTCAAATCATGCCTGCCCAGTTTGGTGGCCTTCTCTGATGGGGTTACAGCATTTATGGATGGGGGAAGAATGACTGACATAATCTCTCGCCTTGTGCAAAGCATTCGATACTGTCCCACACTACCACTGTCTCCTACACTGGAGAGACATGGATTTAACGGGTGGAATGCTCAGTGGATAAAGAAGTGGCTGCACTCAGAGAGTTGCAGCCAACAGCCTGATGCCCAGGTGGAAAACAGTGATGACTTGGGACCCTCAGAGATCCATACTGCAATGAGTATTATTTAACAACTTTGTCAGCAACATGGACAGTCGGATTGAGTGTACCCTCATCAAGTTTGCTGACAACACCAAGCTGTTGGATACTCTAGAAAGAATGGATGCCACCCAGAGGGACCTTGACAAGCTTGAGAAGTGGGCCTGTGTGAATCTTACTAAGTTCAATAAGGCCAAGTGCAAGGTCCTGCACCTGAGTTGGGGCAATTCCAAACATAGATACAGTCTGGACAATAAGTGGACTGAGAGCAGCCCCCTGTAGAGATGGACTTGAGGGTGTCGGTAGATGAAAAGCTCAACATGACCCAGCAATGTGCACTGGCATCCCAGAGAGTCAACCATGTCCTGGGCTGCATCAAAAGCAATGTGGCCAGCAGGTCGAGGGAGGGGATTCTGCTCCATAACTCTGATCTCATGAGATCCCACCTGCAGTGCTGCATCCCGCTCTGGGACTCCGATCATAAGAAGGACGTGGACATACTGAAAAGAGTGCAGAGGGACATGAAGATGATTAGTGAGCTTGAGCATCTCCCCTGTGAAGACATGTTGAGACAGTTGGGGTTGTTGGACCACTCTCATTCTTGAAAATATGCATGCCTGAGTTTGTGCAGGTCTAATGACAGTTTTGTCACAAAGCTCTTCTGCCATGTGAGCTCACTAGGTGTGATGCCAGCTAGCTCACAGTCTCCATGTAAGACTGTAGAGGTCAGGTAGTGCTAGTGGTGGCAGCTAGTTCTTTAATTGCCACTCTCTATTTAATATAAAATCGTGGCCTTTCTTCTCAAATACTAAACTAACATTCATTTTAATACTTTGAATACTTTGAAGGAAATAAAATAATGTCTCTCCTAATTATTTCATTATTAATTTCATATCTGTAGCCAGACAGTTTCCTAGCACAATAAATTCAATACTAACTGTAACACAGAAGTAATTGGAAAAGATCAGACACAGGGTGCGGTGACTAGCAAAGAGCACCAGGGCTCAAGTCCTCCTGTTTCCAAGCACCAGTGGGAAACAGAGGGAGTTGCTTGAAGGAGGGATTTTGGCTGCCCAGTGAAAGTTTCTCAGCTCCTTTGGTATTCAAGGACAATGTAGATATATCATGAAGGCTGTAAATTATAGCTTCATCTGCTCCCTCTCCGCCCAGTTCTCTCAGGCCTCCACCAGAGCCCCTGCTGTATAAAAACGGAAATACCTGTGAGAAACCTCATTGTTTACTTAACTCTGACATGCAAAGTTTTGCTGGTTATCTAAAATCTCCTCTGTCTTCACCCATCTTCACCCTTCAGTCATTTCATATCACTATCTCCTCTATTGCCCCAGGAATGGAAAAATAAACATGCTTAATTTAAAATTTAAGGGAAAAAATGTCTAACTAAATTTGTGTATTGGAAGAATAATAAAATTACAGTAGTCCCACTGCTAGCTGATTTTGCATTGTCTACCTCTTACCTTTTGGTCATGATTTGGCTTTTTTTAGATCTTTGTATCAAAGTTCTTTTAAGTGCTATAAAAGAACTGTGGTTGAGTATTACTGCAGTAACAGTACTAATCATACCAGCAGGTTTTGTTGCAGTGACTCAAAATATTCCTTTCTTGGGAGCTAATGGCATTTAAACTAGCTATGAGTGAACAGCAGGCTCCAAAGCAGCCTGTTGATCCCCAGCTCAGGCTCAGTTGGTAATGGATGACATAAATCGAGTGCTAAGGTAACCATTAAAACTTTAGTGAGTCCTAGCAGGGCTTCTGCCACTGTAAATTTATATAGTCTTTTAGTATGTAGAAAATGCTTTGTAATTTTTTCTGTTCTGAACTATTTTAACTATTTTAGTGGTGTACTTCAACAAAAATGCTGTCATTTGTCTCATCCCTCTATCAGTTTATGTAATTCTCTTTAAAGACAAATGGTTAAATGCTTCTGAGTTCCATCTTGACTTGAATTTAAAATTATTTTTATTACTGTTACTATTATTATTATTATTATCATCATCATATTTTTTTTAATCTTCATTATCCCTATTATTATAATGCACATGGTTTGCATCTGGACAGGCTCCAGCTTTTTACAGGACATTGAAATTCTTTAGCTCCATTTGCTAATTTGTTTATTTTAACACTAATGATGAACCTTGGTGTGTACATTTCGGCACGTAACTGGTGATGCTCAGCAGTCTCCTTTTCCCTACCCAAATATCCATGCATTTCCATTACTTTCTGCAGGGATGAAGTCAACTGGATAAACACTTTTTCTTTAAAATTAGTACTTGTAAGCTAGTACAGTTCAACTGAAAATTCAGACTGCAAAAAAAACCCCATCCAGGTTACATATATTAATTAATTAAACTATCGCAAGTTTAGTTGATACATTACATCAGCAGCCTTTGAGCTTTGATATCCTGATATTCCTCTGCTAGCTTAAAAGCAAAGCATTTCTTACCGAGTCAGAATTTCCATAAACATTTATGTGTGTTAAATTAGTGCAGAGTTGAATTTTCAGTAAACAGGCATTATTAAAAATTGTATCTGAGGTCTTTTCTTTTCTTTTCTTTTCTTTTCTTTTCTTTTCTTTTCTTTTCTTTTCTTTTCTTTTCTTTTCTTTTCTTTTCTTTTCTTTTCTTTTCTTTTCTTTCTTTTTCTTTCTTTTCAAAATGAAGACCAGAGTTACCTGTGTATGGGGAAGACAGAGGATCTGAACAGAGCACTGTGAAATGGTGCTAAGAGATAGAAGGTGTGAGAACCAAAAGAAACATTGGAAAAATGTACACTGGGAGCATGAAGTGAGAAGAAAAGGTAAGTAAATGAGATATAGAGGTACAAAGAAGAATAGACTGCAAAGAAATTAGAGGCAACACCAAGTAAAATGTTGCAAGACATTAATCATATTTAGGAGGATGAAAAGTCAGGTTCTTTGTCTTGAAAAGGCTGGGGATTAAAAGATTTTCCTTCAGCAACTATAGGATATATCTCACATTTATTTAAGGCTGGATTTTGAACTTTGGAACATTCTATTTTACAGAACATGTGACTTAGGAAGAATATTTGCCCAGGTAAATAGAGACTGTGCAATCTCTTTAAAAATCTTATAAATTTCCAACCCAGTCTTTTCTGGGAGTACTGACTAGTTATTTTCACTTGGCTAGTTTGGCAGTATTATTTTTTTAAATCAACACCCACAAATGCCATTATAGGGATAAGACTGAAAAAGCATTTTCTTAACATTTGTTTCTTTCATTTAACTTTTTCTCTGCAGTTTGTGACATGCTTTTACTCCTCTGAAAGTGGAAATACTACTACTAAATTAATGTTCTTCTCCAGTAGACACCTTCTGACTGGTAGACCTATTAAGGAAAACATGATGATACATTGTCATGCTGCTAAATATTTCTTCCTACATTAGCTTTCCAAAGGTAAAAATAGATAAAATTGTTCTAGCAGCATCAGGACTACTGAAGTTTAGTTTCCTACATAGTTTTGCTGGAAGTCTCTTAAACATTCTACCACTAGTTATTTTTACCTCATAAGACTGGCATATAATTTTTTTACTCTAGGTCCTATAAATGCAGCTATTAGGGACAAACACGGGGCTGTAGGGCTGTATAATCACCAACCTGCCAGGCAACTGGTGCTTCATAGCTTCTGGTCCTGGGAAATGGGAAGAGTCAGGACTGACTATAATTTCTCCCAGCAGGGGGCACAGCAGAATCTGTACATCCATTTTTGGAGACTAAAAAAGCCATTAGTAACCTACTTGTTTTGACTTTTTCCCTGCTCTGTCATTTGAGTATTTCTTTGCCCAGCTTTTTCGGGAAACTGACAACTTGGCAAAATTGCAACTAGAATAACTCAAAATGCTTCCTTACACTCTCCCTGCATGGCACTAACTGGTGTTCAGCTCTATCATTTCCTTAGTGTCTATATAGTACTGACACTTGCTGGTTGCATACACATAAATATTTTAAAATAACAGAAAATTAGATCAATTATTTCCTTCCTAACCTGCACAGAGACGTTACAGTCCGAGTTGAGGTGGGAAGGGGTGAGCTTTTCAATGTTTTAGAAACAGCAGAGGCAGGACTGGCAGAAACCACCGGCATCCTTAAGGGCAGTTTTCCAGAATTAAATCTTCATATGCAACGGAAGTTTGGTACAGAAAGCTTGACAGTTTTATGCTTAGTTTGCTTGGGATTGATCTAAGAACTCCAATTTTCTCATATTTGAAAATTCACTTTCAAATCTCAGAATGACTTTTGAGACAATATTAGAGTCCCCTGGGGAGGCTTTGAAGCTAAAAGTGCCAAGCTGGCTTCCCTGTTCTTTCTTTAGTGTTTCTAAAATGACCAAAAGTTAGAAAAGAACTTGTGAGCCAGGTTGCAGTCATTGTAGAGAATGACTGTCACAAACCCATCCCACAGAAAAAAAAAGAAAAAAAAAGACTATTCAGGCTACTTCCAGCATTCAAAATCTCAGTGCAACTTTTTTACTTCCAGGCACTGCCAGGCAGACTTATTTGGGCAGTAAAGGACAGGGCTAAGAAAACAACACTAAACTAGCAGACGTCAATAATAACAGCATCCACAGTGTATCGGCTTAGCCCCCCAGCACCACACAGGTACTTTCCTCTTCTGCTTTTAATTATTTCTGGTAGTTCTTAAATGCTACTCAGCCTCTGCCTCCTACCATTGCAGTCACTCATGTTTTAGTCGCTACTGTCAAAATCTTTCCTAAGAAGGCATAAATACATGCCAGAATGAACAGAAAGCCAAAGGGTAGAGGAGAAAGTCAATGCCTGGCACGCTACCTTCTGCAAAGGTTAAATGCATCCCAAGCTGGCCCCTAAGACATTTGCTTCTTCTTGAGGCATAAAAACAAGCAAACACTGCAAAACCTCAGGCTCTTCCTTTAATCCTTTTTTTCTTTTGGAGCAACAATCACTGGGCTCTTCTCTCAGTAGGACAGGAACTCCTACAGTGCTTATAGGCATCTCTGAAGGTTGGCTTTTCCTTCTCTCTCATTTCTCTTCCTCTGTCTCTCATACTGCTTATGAGATCTTCAGGGTTCACATCAATTCTGTGTCTTGTCTGTATATACAGAGTCCTTGTCTAATAAAAGAGATGCCATATTAGGTAGTTGCTTTCTGATAGGGTTATACTTCAATTATTAGCATAAATGGGAACTTTATTTTGTGTAAAGTGGAAAGATCAAACTTTGAAATTAACTATCTTGCTAAGTAAACTAATAACTTCATGGATTTCATAACCATAGAGCCTAGAGACAATCAAAAGGGCCAACACCAGTAAAATTACTTTTCATGTTTTGATTAAATCTATTTGAACCCAGACAAGAAAAGTGCAATATATATTGAGGGAAAAATCCAATAGAATACCATTGATTTTGCATCATATATTATATTAAAAAAATACAAAATGTGAAATAAAAAATAGGGCTGAAATAATCCCAAGATCTCCAAGGAATTCACCCTCCCCCCAAAAAAAATGAGTGAGAAGGGGGAAAAAAAGCCAAGTAATTATACAGGAAGCATTATTGACTGAGAACTTGTAAAAATAAAATGCTCTAGTATTAAAAATATGATACCTTACATTTATAAGAAAGTACATATTAGAATTAAGATATAATTTTACAGTAGTTTTGTTCTAGAAACCCACTCCTCCAACTACTGAAAAAGAATAAAAAAGTAAGCAAAATTTTTCTGAAAGCAACCTCCTTGCTCTTTGGGTTTGCAGACAGAGAAGTACATAGTATAAAAGTTAAAGAAAGTCTAATGGTCTGCATTAGATGTGTATTAGAATATACATAACAATAGAATTATCTCTAATGCTGATTTTTCTGACATTCCCTAAAAAAAAAACAGGTTGAAAGAATATTAAATTTGTGAAGTTATGCTTAGAATCCCAGAAATGCCAGAATCAAACTTAAATTTTAAACTTACAGTTGTGTCAGTAGTTCATCTATTATACCAAATTCTTTACATACAAAAGGTGAGGGCAGGGATAGAGGGACACCTCCACATCCCATCACTTACAATCATTAAGTGTTTTTGCTGTTTGCATAACACAGCAAAATAGCATGACGTATCAAAAGAGGCAAAGGATAACAAGCTACGATAGACAAAAAAAAAAAACATGTGACATTTAACAATGTTGGTATTTTATTTCTTCTTTTACTATCCTTGAACCTGCTAAAAAAAGCAGGTATTTTGTCTGCCAAAATCCTCAGCTGCTGCTGCTGAGATTATTTCTTTCTGTCTGCCTTTTGGCCTTCTTTTAGGACATATTATCTCCCTCCTTTTACAGTCCTCTTCGTTCTGATTTACAGAAACTGGTACCTTCATGTTGCTTTTTCTTCCCCTCTCAGGATTTTGCTCTCTAATACCCAATTAGTAATGGCGAGCAAGGGGAATCAGTCAAGTGCCTCACAGCTCTGCTGGTCTCTGTCCAAGCGAAACAAGAGACCAGGATGACTGATTAAGGGATCAGGAACATAGCTGGTATTCTCTTCTGTCCTGCCAGTAGTGAGGGAATGATGAGAAAAGAAACAGGAAGATCAGCAGAACAATACCTGGTTCTGAGCTTGGTGTCACCGGTAAAATTTTGGGCTCTTTGATCATGGGTTAGTTTACAGCAAATCAGGCTTGCTGGCAACAGACAGGGTGCACCTGCCTTAAAGGAGGAAAAGGAGTTTGCACAGGAGTTAATAGGACTCATTAAGAGATCTTTAGACTAGATTTGAAGGGAAAAGGGATAAAACCAGGCCTGCCGGAGATAAGACTGGTGGCAGCATGCCACTGTCTGAGGGATGGTATTCTAGCAAGGTCCCTCACTCTGCTGTCTCTGTAGAGATGGGGATGGAAATCATGCAGTAGCAAAGATGTGAGGACTACTGAACTGCAGATGTGCCTGAGGAACCACAGACGTGCCTGAGAATGGTGACATAAGGATTAGGGCTTCTCCCACCAGAAATCAATATCCCAGCTGAAGTGCATGCATGCCAATGCACACAGGATGGGCAAGAAACAGGAGGAAATGGAAGCCATTGTGCAGCAGGAATACTATTATATAGCACACATTACAAAATCACGGTGGCATGACTTGCACAACTGCACTGATGCAGTGGATGGCTATAAACTCATCAGATGGCATAGGCAAGGAAGAAGAGGAGATGATGTAACCCTGTGTGTTAGGGAGTGTTTTGATCATCTAGTGCTTAATAATCGTGATGATAGAGTTGAGTGTTTATAGGTAAGACTCAGGGAAGATGACAGAGCAGATATCCTGGTGGGAGTCTATTACAGACCACACAACCAAGGTGAAGAGGCAGATAAAATATTCTGTAAACAGCTGGGAGAAGTCTCACAAGCTGTTCTTACCAGGGACTTAAACTTACCAGATGTCTGATGAAAATACAACAGCCTACGAGGTTCCTGGAGTGTGTGGCAGGGAATGTCTTGACACAACAGCGAGTGAGCAAACTAGGGAAGGCATTTGCTGGCACTGTTGTTTGTAAACCAAGAAAGATTGGTGGGTGATGTGATGGTTGGAGGCTGCCTAGGGCATAGCAATCATGAAATGACAGTTTTTGATTCTCACAGAAATAAGAATGGGCCTCAGCAGAATTGTGACTTTGGAATTCCAGAGGGCAGACTTTGGCATATTCAGGACACTGATTGACAGACTCCCTTGTGAGGGAGTCCTGAAAGGCAAAGGTGTCCAGGAAGGCTGTACATTCTTCAAGAAGGAAATCCTAAAGAAGCAGGCTGTCCCTGTGGGCCAAAAGATGAGCCACTGGGGAAGAAGACTGGCCTGGCTGAACAGAGAGCTTTGTCTGGAACTCAGGAAAAAACAGGAGAGTTTATGACCTATGGAAGAAGGGGCAGGCAAATCAGGAAGACTACAAGGATGTTGTGAGGTTATGCGGGGAGAAAATTAAAAGGGCCAAAGACCAACTAGAACTTAATCTAACTACTGCCATAAAAGACTGGAAAAAATTCTTCACCAAAAGGGTTACAAAGCATTGGAACAGGTTGTCCAGGGAAGTTGTTGAGTCACCATCTCTGGAGGGATTTAGAAGGTGTGTAGATGTGGTACTTAGGGACAAGTTTAGTGGTAGACTTGACAGTGTAATTTAATGGTCACACTTGATGATCTTAGAGGTCTTTTCCAAATTAAATGACTGCGTGATTCCATGTTGTTTCTATGTTGTTGCTTTACCAGGATGAAAGGCTGGAGCACGACACTATGAACTGTGGGTAGGCTGACACCTGCATGGGTTTTGGCCTTCATCAGGGACAGCAAATCCCTCCTGTGAGCTTCATGGGCAGCTTAAGATAAGCATGCCAGGACCCATCTTCTACTTTTGGTAGATACTGTATAGTCACTTTTGCAACAATCATGTTCCTAGGGGTATTGACCTGAAAACAACTGTCCTTCCACCAGAACTCCCTTTCCATTGCCTGGACAAGACCTACACACAATCTTAGCCAAATTCTTTCCCTTCTGCCCACAGTGAGACTATGAGAGTATACTTTTTGCACTGCATGCTAAAATTGCTTCTTGTCTTTCTGCAGCCACTGAATAAAACTTGCAGATTGTACTCTGTGAATGGGCATAGAGACAATAACAGTGCCATGAAATTCCTGCTTTTAAGTTGCGACTTACGAACTTGTGTAATAATTGTAGTTACAGTGAAGTAAAATATTTGTACCAAGGTGCAGAGTACAAAGATCCAAATTTTTTTATCTTCCATTGGTTCAGTGTGTGATCCCGAAAAAATCTTCACACTTCTTCATGTTTCTGTTCTCCTGTCTTCAAAAACTGTGTTTGTACTCCTTTGGATGATAATATTGTATTTGAATAGACACTGAAGTTGGCACTGCGCAACTTACACAATCTAGATCTTACTGTTCCCCCTACATCTTGCCAAAAATAAAAAATAAAACATGCTACAGTTACTTGAAATAACTTCTAATTTGTGATACATCCACTTAATCATGGTCATTTAAAAATGCATTTATCTAAAACCTTACATGAAATTCTGTAGCAGGGATATCTAAATTCAGAAATTATACCCCTGATTTTTCTTAAAAGCAATGTAAAGTAAGACTGCATTCTTACCACATATATTTTATTTAGATTCTTGTGAAATATGGTCCAAGTACTGAAGTGCAATAAGATTTCTATGATTCACAAAGACTGAGAAAATATGTCAGTCATCATAAGAGCAACATTTACTTAATGCTTAAAAGCACCAATATGGAATAACATGAAGGCCTGAAACGAGATTTGGTGATCAGAGAGAATGTCAGGATAGGTCACACAACTGGAGTGCTGCAATGGGCAGATGCAGGGGTCTGTGGAATTCAGGTTGGGAAGGTGAGGAGGTGATATCTCTTATGTGAGAGAGCAATAGGGATGCCTGGGTCCCAATGCCTGCATTGGGATGGCTCTCTGCCTTGGGATGGATGATGAGGTGGCTGGGTGCTGATGGCTAAGAATAAGTGGGCAAACCCTAATGTTTGAAGAGGCATTTATGAAGGGTTAGGAAAGTTGACTCTGGTGAGGGATATGGGGACAAAAAGAAAGCTTTCTACAGATACATCTTTGGAAAAAGGAAGGCGAGGGAAAATCTGGGCCTACTGCTGAATGGTCAGGGAGCAAGAAGTAAGGGAGATGGGGAAGGCCCAAGTAGTCTATACTTTCTTCATCTCAGTCTTTAGAGATAGATAAAGCAGTCTCAGGTCACTAAGACCAGCGGGAAAGACCAGGGGAAAGAATATTTATCCTTCGTGGAGGAGGATCAGATTAGAGAACTTTCAAGCAAGACTGGGCATTCACACATTCACAAGATCTGATAGGTTGCACAAGAGTGCTGAGAGAGTTGGCCCTTGTGAGGCCACTCTCAAGTAATTTTGAAATGTCACTGCAACTTGAAGAGGTTCCTGAAGACTGGCAAAAAGCAAATGCCATCCACAGCTTCAAGAAAGGCACAAAGGAGGATCCAGAAAATTACAGATTAATCATTCTCACATCAATCCCAGTAGGTAACTGGAGCAAGTAATCCAGAACACCGTTTCCAGACATTTTAA